GCTGTTGACGCTGTTCACCTTGTGACTCCCGTTGACTACACCATTGACAGCAGCCCGGACACGTCGCACATATTCGTGGCAGTGGGCTGGGCTTCCACGTGGAGTCACCCGCCTTGACTCTGAGGGCTCTGTTATCATGTTGACCCTGTTGACTCCCGTTTGACCACAGGCCTGACACGTCACACATATTCGTGGCAGTAGGGCTGGGGTTCCACGTGGAATTCAATCAGTTTCACTCGGGGAAGATGTCATTTTCCTAAACCCTATTGACTCCTGGCCAGACACATCACACATATTCGTGTCGGTGGGGCTGGGCTTCCACATGGAGTTCACCCGTCTTGACTCTGAAGATTCTGTTGACTCTGTTGACCCTGTCAACTCCCGTTGACTCCCATTGACCACAGGCCGGACACGTCACACATATTCGTGGCAGTGGGGCTGGGCTTCCACGTGGAGTTCACCCGCCTTGAAGCCAAGGAGTTTGCCGCCTCCAAGGTCGAGCATTTGAGAAAGTGAGTGGCGGTGATGGTGCTTCACACAGCAACGGGACGTGATGTATGTATCATGACAAGCGTGTGATTTTATCGTTGAATTCTGCCAGTTTTTTTTACCCTTCTTAACATCCCTCTTTTCATGTATAGTAAATTTTATTCTTTCCTCTATTCTTCTCCATACCTCCCCGCCCCCACTCCCCACCCCCCATCCTGCTCCCACTTCATGCTTCAGCCCCCAAACCCCATTGCTTATAGTGGAAAGAACTAGTAACCCCCTCTCCATCCCCCTCCCCACTTACTCAGTTCCCTCCCCATACCCGTTCCTCCCTTGACGAGTCAAAGATCCCCAATTTGCATGGTGACTATGTGCATGGTGACTATGTGCATGCAGGCAAGTTGCACGGCACACAGAGAGAATATCATCCATTAAAGCCCACATTAAGCTGGTGAGCATTGGGTTGGGCGGGGCTGCTTACGGTACTCAAACTGGGTTGGGTGGTGTGGTGACTGTTGGGTCGATTAAAAAACGCAGGGTGCATGGTATCATCCATTAAAGCCCACATCAAGCTGGTGAACATTGGGCTGGGCTGGGCTGCTTTATGGTACTCAAACTGGGGTGTTTGGGTGATGTGAATGTTGGGTCGTTTTAAAAAAAACAGGGTGCATGGTACACGAAAGAATATCATCCATTAAAGCCCACATCAAGCTGGTGAGGAATGACTAGGCTTGGCGGGGCTGCTTTATGGGACTCAAACTAGGGTGGTTGGGTGGTGTGACTGTTGGGTCGATTAAAAAAGGCGGGGTGCGTGACACAGAAAGAATATCATCCATTAAAGCCCACATTAAGCTGGTGATCACAGGGTGGCTGCTGATGAACAGACTTGAGGTCCCGGGGTGTCCTCCCTTGGGTGAGGCCCTGCTTCGTTCAAGTCTTGATGTGCGTGTTGAGATGAGGCCCCTTCGGTCCTCGCGTTTTCTTGTGATTCGTCTCTTGGCGTTTCGTCTCTTATGGCATTTGATTTCAAGTCTTTCTGATGTTTCGCCTTTTTTTTCGCTCATGGCTGTGGGCAGGTGGTTGAAGGCGTTCGAGAGCTTCTCAACATTTCAGCTGAAGATTCATGAATTGTGACCACCAGACCAGATGATGTATGGTAGTAGTTCTTTGGTATTCTCAAGAATAGTCCACCAGAGGTGACTTCGAGACACATCAGAAGCTGCTCTGCTCACCATACGGTATCAGCTGACGACTCATCATGGCAATCAGCCATGTTGACTAGACAGGCAGCAGGCTGGGTTGAAAGAGTTCCGAGGCTTGGAGTGAAGTAAGGAGTTGTGCTGACTGAGAGATGCAGCTGGGATGTTGGTGCATGGGTAGTGGGTGAATGGGGTGTAATGGTGAATGGGTTGTAATGGTGAATGGGTTGTAATGGGGTGGTGGATGGATGTTCGAATGCAGCTTGCACTAGATTCTGCTGTACATAAAATGCATCGGCGCGATAGCAACAAGGGATAGTTAACTGCACCTCCTAAGGGGCAACTCACCACAGGCTGAACTAAGAAATATGATATTGAAAAACATGATAGAAGTGTGATGCTTTCATGATGGAGAACAGCATCATTTAGTAAATCAAGATGGCTAGGGGCAATAGCAAAAGAATCAGAACAAAATCCAGGGGGTATGGTAGTATTGTCCAGTATTAGTGTTCAAATAATTTGGACTCACCATCATGCACACAACACAACGAATTTGGAAGCTGAGTTGCAACTAGCGTACGGTGGTCCAAATACATTGATACGAAAGAAGAGCTGAGGACCTGGGTTGCTGTTTCTAAGCACGGACATACAGAAGCTTCGAATAGGGACAAGAATTTGGTGGACGAAAAGCACTCTGCTGTGCCTCCTCTTTGAGGTGACAAAAGGTGAAAGAGCATCAAATAGACACTGCGGTGCCAGACATTTCGGGTCCTGTCAGTAACAATATAGAAATATGATGCGGGGTGCTGGGAGGATACGGACGAGGATAGATTCTCCAGCCGTCATGGTCTTCGCACTAATAGTTCATTTGAGCCATACGCATTGGTAAGTGCATGCTTATGCGCGAGCCATAGCCATTGCTTCTTGGCGAGGGGTATGAGCGAGAACCTGGCTACTAGTTTCAGTAACAGATGCTTACAAATGAAGGGCACCTATACACCAAAGCTAGAAACACGCTCAAGCGCCGGGGGTGAAGTTGGTGGCATAGGCCCAGGCGTTGTTGACGGTGGGGTCAGCCAGGTGGTCGGACAGGTTCTCCAGGGGGCCCTTGCCGGTGACGATGGCCTGCACGAAGAAGCCGAACATCGACACCATGGCGAGGCGGCCGTTCTTGAGCTCCTTCACCTTGAGCTCAGCGAGGGCCTCGGGATCGTCAGCCAGACCCAGGGGGTCGAAGGCACCGCCGGGGTACAGGGGGTCCTCAACCTCTTGGAAGCCCTCAAGGCCACCCACGCGGTAGCTCTCGACGGCACCCATGAGGATGACCTGGGTGGCCCAGATGGCCAGGATGGACTGCGCGTGGATCAGGCTGGGGTTGCCGAGGTAGTCAAGGCCACCCTCGGAGAAGATCTGAGCACCGGCCTTGAACCACACAGCCTCGCCGAACTCGACGCCGTTGTTGGCGAGGAGCTCGGGGGTCAGGCAGCCGAGGGCACCGAGAAGAGCCCAGCGAGCGTGGATCACCTGATGATAAAGCAACAAAGGAGCTCGAATCAGGTAAGGAACATATTTCGAAATGGTGATACATGCATAGAACGAAGATACAATTATTGCATGCGTTTAAATCGCAACAAAGCAACGCACATCGAGCTCGCGGTTCTTGGCGAAGGTCTCGGGGTCAGCGGACAGACCCGCGGTGTCCCAGCCGTAGTCACCGGGGTACTCGCCGGTCAGGTACGACGGGGGGGAGGAGAACGGGCCCAGGAACAGTTGCGGTCGGGGCCGTAGAAGGCGCTGTGGGAGCCGCCTTGGCGGTCTTCCTCATGGTCACACGGGCCTCGACATTGTTCACCTTGGCGGCGAGCTCAGCGCTCTGACCGACGAAGGTGGACGGGAGCACAGCGGCGTTGGCGAGAGCGGCCATTGTCGACTGTGTAAAAGTGTACAACTAAAAGTTGTGTAGGAACCTGGAATGTTTCTGTCGCTGACTTGGAGATTGTGAGAAGACCATCAACATTTGAAGATTTGCGAATTTGAACGGACCAGGGGGATCACTGCCTGAGGTATGCGGTGGATGCGGTGAGGTGGGGTGTTCAATGGGAGGAGGAAAGCAGGTGGATTGAGGTTGGTGCTTGGCTAGGCGCTGAAAGGTTGGGGACTGCGTTGTAGTCCCGAATCCTGATTGGCCGACAATCGCCAGAGGGAACCGCTGGTTGCTTCAGGGTTGGATGGCTTCGATCCGAATCACGAGCGCTATGCGTGCACGACGCGCCAGGCTCATCCTGTTGCCTGATCGCGCATCTGGATAATCAAATTCCACCAATGGCGGAGGTTGACGTGGTCCCATCCCAATAAGGTTGGGCAATGTACACCCTCATCTGGCTGAGAAATCAGGGGCTACCAATGGCTAATGTTGATTTGGTTTGGTCCCATCCCAACGAGGCTGAAGACATTGCCCTTCCTATTACATGCGCCGTTTATAATCGAGATAAACTCTGTCACATAATCCGAACACTTTCATTCGGGGAAATAAAGTACCGTATGTGGGATTCATAGTTGGTTATTAAGAGAAGCCATGCACTACTCCAAATGATTCATCACATCCCATCATGAAATTGAATGGTATCACCAATTGCCCTCCTCGTCGCCCCCACAACGGCCGCCGCATCCACCTCTTGAGACGTCACACCAAACTCACCGGTATTCTGTCGCTTCCCGGAAACTCAAACTCCGCAGGAAACTCCTCCCTCGGGTACACCTTCAGCGCCTCCCCATTCACAATGCCCCCGCCCTCTATCACAACACCATGGTTGTTGAGAGGCATGGCAACACCAGTGTCACTCAGTGACCTGCTGAATGAGTGAACAACTACTTCACTCAGTGATACAGTTGTTTCTTTCAAGAGCCCCATGATTACATCGATGGGTTTTAGGAGGAGCTTATTGTCGTTGTCATGACGTGACTTGGGCAATGAGTGCCACGGTTGTCTCTTTGGACAGCCCCATGACTGCATCGATACCCCCCACCTGGAGAAACAGCACAGGGAATGATTGCCAGAAAGAGGAAAATACAGGGAAGAACATTGAAGCCGTACCAAAAAAGAGGAAGAAACGGGAAAGTGGGGTTGGGAGACAGACCCAACTTCAAAGCATAAAAACTAGGGCCATTTTTAAATGCATTCCACATCCCTGCATCTCCTCTCATCACCTTCTTCATTCATGCGCCCATTCTTTCTTCGTGTAACTCGTCTTAGAATGGTTTTCCATTCCTCACCCGTTCACCTCTCCCCCCTCTCCTACCCCCTCCTTCCCCCCTCCCCCCTCCCTGTTCCCCACTGCCTTCTGCCCCCTCTTCCTGTCATCAGCAGCACTAGAATGCTCCCATGGCCCATCATCGCACCCCCTCTCCCCTCCCTTCTCTCTCCCTCCCCCTCACCATCTTCTCCACCAGCGGCGCCAGCAGGGGACGCTCCACCACCATCCCTCTGGCATGAGCCGTCACTCTCAAGTGCTCGCCAGACTCACCATTGCACCTCTCACATCTCCTCCTCCCACCTCTTCCCACTCCCCTAACCTCTTCCCCATCACCCCCCTCACCATCTTCTCCACCAGCGGCGCCACCTGAAAATGCTCCACCACGTGCCCTCCGGGATGAGGTAAGAGTCACTGAAAAATGCTCCATCACACCTCTACTCTCCCGACCCTCCCCCGTCATCCCTTGAGCCTCTCTCCTCTATCCGCTCCCCCCTCACCCATCTCACCATCTTCTCCACCAGCAGCGCCACCAAGGGATGCTCCACCATGAGCCATCACATAGAAGTTTCAATGCAATGACCCATCATTTGCATCATAGTCCTCTCTCTCTCCCTTCCCCCAATCCCCCTCACCATCTTCCCCACCAGCGGCGCCACCAGGGGATGCTCCACCATGAGCCCTCCGCCATGAGGCATCACTCATTTCCCCACTCCACTTCTCCCTCTCCCCTCTCCCCTTTCCCCTCTTCCCTTCCCCCAATCCCCCTCACCATCTTCTCCACCAGCGGCGCCACCAGGGGATGCTCTACCATGAGCCCTCCAGCGCAGTAGAAAATGTCGCCCTCTGCCACCTGGTGGGCATGTGGCACGGTGCAGAAGGATGCAGGGTGGTACAGTGAGGTGTGAGGTGCAGTGAAGTGGTTGCAGCGGCGTACAGTGCGGTGGAGGGGGGCGACATGGCATGGCATGTCAAGCAGGAATTATTTTTTCTCTTCTCTTCATCAGCAGCGCCACCCGGCGCACTCAGAAACGCCTCCCTTTGACATGCGGGGTGATAGATCCAGAGCGGTGCAAAAGGGTGCGTTGCAGAGCGGTCCAAAAGGGTGCACTGCAAAAGGGAAGCGTTGCAGAGGCACTGAGCGGTTCGGTGAGTTTGGGAAATCAGTGGGGAACTGTTGCATCTTTCTAATAGACCGCAGCAATGACATGTCCACTCACCACCTGGTCAAGCACAGAATCAGGAATGGGCTGGATGTGAACATCTGGCACCACCTCTGCAACGTCTACTCCAGTGCTGCCGTCTGCCTGCCACCCAACACCTCGCCAAACTCATCCCTTTCCTCACACAATCAACCCGGACCCCTCTCGCATGTGACACACACTCCCACTCAGTGAGTGGCACTCACCAGCTGGTCGATCACAGAGTCAGGAATGGCCCGAAAGTAAACCTCTGCAACATCCACTGCTGCTGCCTGCTTGCCCGAGTTCAGATTCGTTATGAGAACTGCCCCTACAGTGCGGGCAGGCGCGCAAGAGTAGCCTCGGATGAACTCCCGAGCCTCAGCTTCGGAGAGAGGCTTCTCCAGAATCCGATCCTCATGCACCACCACCTGTGCAACGAACAAGAAACAATCAACCATCAAGCATCAAGCATCAAGCATCAAGCATCAAGCATCAAGCATCAAGCATCAACCATCAAGTATCAACCATCAAGCATCAAGCATCAACCATCAAGCATCAAGCATCAACACAAGCTGCATTTGCAAAGGACCCAATATGCTCCAGAATCCGATCCTCGTGCACCACCACCTGTGCAACGAACAAGGACGTACATACATGCATCATCACAGACTAAAGCATCCCCACCCCACCAGGAACCATCAACTGTCAACCACCAGTTGCATTTGATAGGACCCGGGCTTCTCGAGAATCCAATCCGCATGCACCACCACCTGTGCAACGAACGAGAACGTAAAAGCATGATCACCATAAACCATCAACAACAACTCCATATACACCACCACCTGTAAAACGAACGAGGGCGCACATCGTCACACGTAAAGGCATGAGCTGACTGGGCCCCAAACCCGCACTGCTCCACTGTCCAATGTGACCCTTGTGCCTGTCGTCTCTGCTGCAGGGTTCAATGTCAGCTTTTGCAAGAAGATTTCGAGCGAGGATTTGAGGAAGACGAGAACAAGAAACATGTGGATGTGTTGCGACAGAGAAGTGCTTAATACTCTTCAATTCAACTCAACCACAAACGCATTGCGCGCGCGCCACACACACGCAGAGTCACTCGCTCTCACTCACTCTTGCACAAACTCTTTCACACTCACTTTCTCACACTCACTCTCGTCACTACACTCCACTATACCTGGTCAGCAGTTATTAGCAAAGTTGGCACATCCGCACTTTCCGCGAAGGTTCGTCCCTCAGCCTTTAGCTTGGTTAGCAGGGCGTCTGCCTGATGGGGAGAGACACGTGGCACAAGATTATTGGATGGCAATCATTCGCTTGCGCGCCTCAGCAAATTAAAAACATCCTGAAATGAGAAGGCTGTTGACGAATGTTCATGCAACATAAGGGTTTGAGAGCCCACGCTTTACAGCATACAATCAATCGTACAGATACAAGAGCACTACTGTAGAAGGTTATATCTCACCTTGGCGCGAGAGAGGAGGGAGACAAGCTCGTTGGGGTCTGCACTTCGAATGGCCTCCTCGTCTATCCCTGGCTTCTGCATGCAGTGGCGTGAGCACCATCGCAGAGCAGAAAGAACAGAGCAGTATGAGTGAGAAGAGAGGAACAGGGCATGAGAGCAAGGGCCACACGAGAACCCACCCTTTCCTCTTTCTCAGACCACCTCACCTCACCCCTTCCACCCCTTCATGCCCTCCCAGCCTCCTTCCCATTCCTCTCCTTCGGTTACATTGAGGGCCGAGAGTATATTTCAAAGAGGCAGAGCGTTGTGTTCTCACAATTTAGTGATCTGCTGGGATCGCTTAACCACTTCACCCGCCTTCTAACGATGGGCACAAATGCCCTGATACAATCAACCATCCTATAAAGCACTGTGCAAGCGGCCATCGTTCTCCGTCTTTGAGCGAGACTTTCTGAAATTCTCAAAAGTAGGCTCCGCTCTGCCTCCTGCACGCGTTTTAGGCATCCTCGTTTTCCGACCTTTAGTGTGATGTGATCAGACCACCCACCATGATCTCAAACGGCACGCCTATCTCCTGGAGCACCTGCTCCTGGCTCTGGTCCTCCTACTATACGCGTTTCAAGCATCCCCGTTTGCAACAGTTAGTGTGATGAAAGCACCCACCATGATCTCAAATGGCACGCCTATTTCCCGCAGCACCTGCTGCCGGCTTTGTGATGACGATCCCAGAATAATCTGCCACGACATGGAAGCACGGAGCGTGGAGGGGTGGTGGCGGGGTGGGGGAGTGGAGAGCGGGTGAGAGCTTTTCCAAACCTTCCCGAAGCACCTGCTGCCGGCTTTGTGATGACGATCCCAGAATGATCTGCCACGGCATGGAAGCACGGAGCGTGGAGGGGTAATAGAGGACCAGAAATACATTTGATTGATTCCCAGCATTCCTGCAGCACCTGCTGCCAGCTGTGTGACGACGATCCCAGGATGATCTGTAACCAGATAGATGGCGGAGCATGGAGGGGTGGTGGATGGAGCGAGGGAGAGCCTTTCAGTTTACTCAGGACCTTCCCCCAGCACCTGCTGCCGGCTGTGTGACGACGATCCCAGGATGATCTGTAACCAGACAGATGGCGGGGCATGGAGGAGTGGTGGATGGAGCGAGGGAGAGCCTTTCAGTTTACTCAGGACCTTCCCCCAGCACCTGCTGCCGGCTGTGTGACGACGATCCCAGGATGATCTGTAACCAGACAGATGGCGGAGCATGGAGGGGTGGTGGATGGAGCGAGGGAGAGCCTTTCAGTTTACTCAGGACCTTCCCCCAGCACCTGCTGCCAGCTGTGTGACGACGATCCCAGGATGATCTGTAACCAGACAGATGGCGGGGCATGGAGGAGTGGTGGATGGAGCGAGGGAGAGCCTTTCAGTTTACTCAGGACCTTCCCCCAGCACCTGCTGCCGGCTGTGTGACGACGATCCCAGGATGATCTGTAACCAGACAGATGTCGGGGCATGGAGTGATGTAGGTTACTAGCCTACATTGCTCTGTATTTCTGGTTATATATTCTAGATAGCCTCAGGCAGTTGACGGGTCAAGCATGAGGAGAATGCTGCACGGGAAAAGGAGACCCTGACGCGTCGTTAACTGATAGCAACGTAGATTGCTTCCTACCGACTCCTACTCATAGCGCGTTCTACCTGGCAGTTCTTCATGGTTTCTCTTTTGAGTCTACTCAAAAGTCAGTACCTACGGAACTCGCTTCCTTCCTAACAAGTCCTACTCAAAGCGCGTTCTATCTGGCAGTTCTTCATGGTTTCACTTTTGAGTCGACTCAAAAGTCAGTACCAACGGAATTTGCTTCCTTCCTAACAAATCCTACTCAAAGCGCGTTCTACCTGGCAGTTCTTCATGGTTTCTCTCCACTCAAATGCAGGCGGCTCAACCTCGATCCCCGCGGCTCGCACGCGAATTCGTCTCGTGGCGCTATGAGCTTGAGAACAGTAGCGAGGATTAACGACGATTGTAGTTGAGAGTAAAGATGCTGAAGAGAGATCGAAGCTTCTGGGAGACGGAATGTGGCAGCGGAAGGTGCGACTGACAGGAAATATAGCTACGTTACGCTGGGATTGGGCGGGAAAATTGCGGGGCAATGGCTGCCGGAACCTAGATAGTACCGCCATGGACCAAGTGATGGTGGCTTGTTAGAATTAGGAACTATCTGCTCTGCTTCTAATTTGATCAACCACGAGACAATTGCACAGATTTGGTTTCGCTAGAAACACTATTTTACCGCTCGTCTTTCAGCTCTGATGAAGGATTACACTGTAGTTCGACTGAAGCTGTAATGCTGCAACAGCTCCTAGCAAGTATGAATTTCCCGCTCATTTTGTATAAGCACAATATTTACAGAAGATCACCCCACCTATCCCCCCAGAAACTGCCGCAGAGATCCTGGGGCCTCTCTGCATATGCAACCTCGATATGCTCCCGCTGGAAAGTACAAAACAATCGGGACCGTCCGATCCGTCACTCTCACCAGAGTTCTGTAGCCTCCATTCGCTGAGATCGGAATCCACTGCCGCCAGAATCCTAAATTCTCTGCCTTGAAGCCTGCGCAGGAGCATAGCTTGTGCTAGCTTATTGAGTTGTGCTTAGTCAGTAGCATAGCGGAACATCAATCGAGTCGGGGTGATTTTCCTTCTGAGCCAGCGACACACTCCATCTCGGCCTGGACATTACGCTGGTGCCGTACATTCTATCCTCGTTCCGCCAGACTCTTATTCGGATGAGGTATGAACGGACTCGAGAGGCTGTAATAGTCGATCCATCACCAGCTTTGTTCTAACCGTTGAAGTGCACTGTCGAAAATGAGATAGGATTGGACTTGAGACGTCCATGAGCACCCAAAGACCGGATTCAGTTTTGCAAAGGAGATAAGTACGGACTTGAGAGTAAATGGGAGTTTAGATTCGGCGTGAGGAGTATTTACGCATGGTCTACTTGAAAGCCTTACAGATGAAGCTTAGATACGATGAGAAGCCAGCAGCAACGGTAGCAGATTGATGCTGATAAGTTGATACATCAATGAGTGGAGGAGTTGGAACGCAGATTCTCATATTCCCTGCCCGCTCGTTGGTGCTCCAACTAGCACCAACTCGTTGGAGTTTCGTTACTAGCACATGCTTCACTGACATAATGCAATGTTACCTCATCAATGCACATGTTTTCCTTCCATACGACGCGCGCCTTATCGGCAAATTCGTGCTGTTCTGACTCTCCTTGTGTCTCACTCTCCGCACACCCTTCTTCGCGTCCTTGTTTCAGGTTCGCGTAGTGCCGTTCCAGCAATCGTGATCGCCTTTTCTCTGCACCGTTCGATCACCGTGTACTAACGAAGCGATCCGCTAGCAGCTACCTCCGATTTCACCAGATTCCAAAATCATCTCAGTCTCCGACAGTAGATTTTAGACGTTTCAAAGCCGGTTCCGCCTTGCCGTCGCTAACCAGATTCCGTCAGGCAGCCAGCCATGCGGCACGGCGTGCGGTCGTCGGGCACGTTCTCGGCGTCATGGAACTTGTGGATCATGGTCACCATCGCCGTCGTCCTCGTTTTCTTCGGCGCATGGGCCATCTTTTCCCCTTCTAACAGCGCAGTGAGTTCCCGTAGATACTGGAAAACGGATTATTCGATGTTCTCGGCGTCATGGAACGTGTGGATCATGGTCACCATCGCGGTCATCCTGGTCTTCTTCGGCGCGTGGGCCATCTTCTCCCCCACTAATAGCGCAGTGAGTTCCCGTAGACACTGTAGAACGGGTGATTTGATTGTTCTCGGCGTCATGGAACGAGTGGATCATGGTCACCATCGCCGTCCTCCTGGTCTTCTCCCCCCCTAATAGCGCAGTGAGTTCCTCTATACTCCTGAAACCGGGTGATTCGAGTGCTCTCGGCGTCATGGAACGAGTGGATCATGGTCACCATCGTCGTCGCCCTGGTCTTGTTCGGCGCAGTGACTTCCTCTACACTCCTGAAACTGGATGATTTGATTGTTCTCGGCGTCATGGAACGAGTGGATCATGGTCACCATCGCCGTCCTCCTAGTCCTCTTCGGCGCGTGGGCCATCTTCTCCCCCACTAATAGCGCAGTGAGTTTCTTCGGAAGCCAGAAGCCGGGTAGTTCGCTCGATTTTGCGGGAAGTTGGGTGCATCAAGCTTTTAAGCCGACGAAAGACGGGGGATCTTACACTGTAAAGGTGCTGGAAGACGGGGGATTCATGAACTTTCAAATGTCATCAACGTGTGGAGTGATCCGTCATGATCGCTTGTCAGTTATATTTTTCCCTTTTCGATCTATTGTTGCTTCACCATGCACCATTGGCTGGTGCAGCGGCAGAGGAGGAGGTGGAGGACGAGATAGGCCATTTGGTCGCCGCAGCAAACAGCACTCTGTGATTCGTCCTTACCCTTCGTTTTATTCCCCTCGTCGCCTAACCACGGAGGCAGTGGCAACCGAGGAGGAAGTGGAGGACGTCACAAGGCAATGGGTTCCCACAGTCGAGAACTGCATGCTGTGATTTATCCCGCCCTGTTTGCTCTCCTCGTCGAACCCTCGCCAGGCCGTGGAGGCAGTGGCGGAGGAGGAGATGGAGGACGTGGTGGGCGAGTCTGTCCTTCTTCACGGTTGGCAGCGGCTTGCTGTGTTCCGACCCTGTATTCTGCTCTCCTCGCCGCCCCCCGCTTCCCCCCCCCCACCCCTTTCTCCCTTCCCGCTCACCTCAGGCCTTGGAGGCATTGGCGGAGGAGGAGGTGGAGGACGTGGTGGGCGGGTTGGAGCCGTCAGTAACCCAGTCAGCATGCTGTCTTGTGTTTCGTCCCTCCCTTTGTTCTGTTCTCCCTGTCGCCCCTTGTCACAGGCCGTGGAGGCATTGGCGGAGGAGGAGGTGGAGGACGTGGTGGGCGAGTCGGAGCAGCGGCTGGAAGCTGATGTGAAAGTCGCCGAGGCGATCCAGAGGGCGAAAAACCGAGCCAAGGCCAAGGTGAGATTCTTTAGACGTCTCATAAGTTCAGAGTCGGTCGCTGTCCCATGAGAGCCTTTGACGTCTCAAAGGAGGGCAGCCTCTCCCTTTGTACCAGCACCTGGACCTGGACCTGGACCAGTTCCCCTCGCTGAACCATTTCTTTCCCCTCCTACCCGCGCTCTTCATTCCGTCTCCCTCCCTCGTCAGGACGTGGCGCTGAAGGCAGAGACCAGGCCAGCAGCTAGCTGGCAGAGTAAATCCTCTAAACCGAGACCCACCTCTTTCCACCCCTCTCAACATCCCTTCCTTGTCAGGATGTGGCTGTAGAGGCCGAGGCGAGCAGCGGGCTGGCAGAAGAGACGGGCGCTGAAGGCGCAGGGGAGGAGGACGAACAGGGGGTTGAAGTGGCAGGAGGCGAGGAGGGCGGGAGTGAGGAAGGGGGAGGGGAGGAGGGAGGAGGTGAAGTTGGGGGAGGGAAGGAAGCGGGGAAGGGTGGGGAGGAGGAGGAGGGAGGCGGAGAAGAGGAGGAGGAAGGAGGTGGTGGAGGAGGCGGGAAGAAGGCGGCTGTGAGGGAGGAGGAAGGGGAGGCAGAAAGCGAGGAGGAAGGAGAGGAAGGAGGGAGTGTGGCGCAGAGGAGCAAGGGTGGAAAGGGAGAGGAGGCAGCAGGCGAGGAGGAAGAAGAAGTAGAAGAAGGGAGAGGCGGGAAGGGAGTGCAGGGGAAGAAGGGAGGAGAGGAAGAGGAGGCTGAGACAGCAGGCGAGGAGGGAGGGGAGGGAGAAGGTGGTGCAGAGGAAGGGGGAGAGGACAAAGTTGGGAAGGCTGCTGGAAACTCCAAGGTGCGTCCTTAGAGGACTAGAGGAAGAAAGGCCGAGAGCTAAGAGATTCACCAATGATCCCAACCTCCCCATCTCTCAAATGGTCCTTTATTCGACTTCCTCCGCCTCTTCCTTATCCCAACCTTCCCTCTCTCTTATCGGAACCTCTTCCTCTTTTCTCTTGCCCAGTTTTTTCGTGTAGTGAGTCGAGTTGAGTCGACTCAAAACTCGACTTCTCCTCCTCTTCCTTGTTCCAACCTTTCCCTCCCTCTTATCGGAACCTCTTCCTCTATTCTCCTGCCCAGTTCTTCTTTGCTGACCTGGCAGCGGTGGAGGCAGCGTGGGATTCAGAGGACGCAGCAGCAGCAGACCCCAACGTGCCAGCAGCAGACCTGCGCACAGAGAGCAGTAGTTCCGAGTTTCCCCCTTCTTCCTTTCTCTCCCTTTCCCTTATCCCAACCTCTCCTTCGCTGTCCCTGCTTCAGTTCTTCTCTGCTGACCTGGCAGCGGTGGAAGCAGCGTGGGACTCGGAGGACGCAGCAGCAGCAGATCCCAACGTGCCTGCAGCAGACCTGCGCACAGAGAGCACGAGCTCTGAGGCAGGCAGTGGGCTTGAGTCTCAGGCGAGAGAGTCGGAGGAGGAGGCGAGGCTGGACATTCGGGAAGCTGCCACGAAGAAGCAGGAGAGCAAGAAGACGGAGGTAGGTTCTGAAAGAGGCGCGTAAGTGTACGATATTCAGTGTTTTAGGGTGCATTTAAGGGAGGCAGGCAGTGGGCTCCCATCACATCACAGGCGAGGGAGTCTGAGGAGGAAGCGAGTCTGGACATTCAAGAGGCTCTCACCATTAAGCAGGAGAGCAAGCAGACGGAGATAGGGGTTGTTTAGGATGGAGAGCGGTTGAGGTGGGCAGGAAACGGTAGATGCAGACTGGCAGGCGGAGGTTGAGGGATAGAACGTGCGTACTGAGGTGAGGGAGTAAGCAGATGGAGTCGGGGGGAGGGAGTGTAAGCAGGAGGGGTTTTTCCTTCCCCTAATTTGTTTTCCCCTTTCTCCCCGCTCATCCCCCACCCACCCGTCGCCACGACGACTTTGGGGAGGTGGAGGGAGGAGCGGCGACCATTCATAGCAGCCCCGAGAGCAAAGAGCCGCCGCTCATGGCAGGGCCAGCGGGGCAGGGCACAGGGGAGGAAGGGGGCGGCGCTGTGCCCTCCCTTGACCTCCAACACACTAAGTTGCATTTGAGTCGACTCAAAAGGGGGCGGCGCTGTGCCCTCCCTCGACCTCCAACACACTAAGTTGCGCTGGCCCTCCTTCGGTGGTAACCGCACGGACTGACCTGCTTCCCTGCCTTTGATGTCTTCGCCCCCCACTCGCTCCCCTGCGCCCGCACTCCCCAACCCCCGCACGGCCACCGCTCAGGACGACTTTGGGGAGGTGGAGGGGGGAGCGACGATCATCCAGAGCAGCCCCGAGAGTAAAGAGCCGCCACTCATGGCAGGGCCGGTGGGGCAGGGCACAGGGGAGGAGGGGGGCGGCGCCCTGCCCTCCCTGGACCTCGAAAACGCCAAGTTCCGCTGGCCGTCGTGCGGTGGTAACCTCATGGTCTGGACTGTTTTTCCTGCCACTAATTTTTTCCCTCTCCCCTCCCCCCCCCCCCCCTTCTCCCCTGCACCTGCAACCCCCAAACCCTGCCCGCCCACTGCATCAGGACGACTTTGGGGAGGTGGAGGGGGGAGCGACGATCATCCAGAACAGTCCCGAAAGCAAAGAGCCGCCGCTCATGGCAGGGCCGGTGGGGCAGGGCACAGGGGAGGAGGGGGGCGGCGCCCTGCCCTCCCTGGACCTCGAAAACGCCAAGTTCCGGTGGCCGTCGTGCGGTGGTAACCGCACGGACTGGGTGCCGTGCCTGGACAACGAGAAGGCGATCAAGGCGCTGAGGACGAACAAGCACTATGAGCACCGCGAGAGGCACTGCCCGCTGCCTGGCGAGATGGAGAAATGCCTGGTGCCGCTGCCCAAGGGGTACAAGGCACATGTGCCGTGGCCCGAGAGCAGAGACCAGGTGAGACGCGGTGCTGTGCGGTGAAACGTGGTGAAATGGACAGTGCGTTGGGGTAAAGTGCGGTGAATTGGGGGAAACAAGCACTATGAGCACCGGGAGAGGCACTGCTCCGTTCTGGGAGAGATGGAGAAGTGTTTGGTGCCACTGCCCAAGGGGTACAAGGCTCATGTGCCGTGGTCCGAGAGCAGAGACCAGGTGAGACGCGGTGGAGCGGGGTGAGAAGCGGTGAAGGGGGCATATTGACAATAGTGGCACTCTGCAATACACCCATTTAGGGTTATTCCCTCCATGTTATCCCATGTGGCCCTGTATTCCCTGCACCTTCTGTTGCTCTCCCACCATCTCCTTCCTCCTAGGGTCCGCTCCCCTCCCGCACAGGGTACGTGAATCTTTACACTGCTGCCGCTCGCCTTCCCTCTTCCGCCACACCTTCCTAGCGCTGCTTCTCAACTCCCTCTTCTTTCTCCTTCTGCAACTCTCTTTTCTCCTCCCCACCTTTCCCACAGGTGTGGTAGGACAACGTGCCGCACCCGGGCCTGGCGAGCTACAAGCTGGGTTCTAAAGCGCGCCATAGTTTGTCTCAAATGCCTCCTCTCCCCTCTCGTAACTGCCTCCTCCTCCCCCCTCCCTTCCCCTCTCAACAGGTGTGGTACGACAACGTGCGCACCCGGGCCTGGCGAGCTACAAGCTAGGTACTAAAGCGCGCCATAGTTTGTCTCAAATGCCTCCTCTCCCCTCTCGTAACTGCCTCCTCCTCCCCCCTCCCTTCCCCTCTCAACAGGTGTGGTACGACAACGTGCCGCACCCGGGCCTGGCGAGGCGAGCTACAAGCTGGGTTCTAAAGCGCGCCATATTTTGTCTCAAATGCCTCCTCTCCCCTCTCGTAACTGCCTCCTCCTCCCCCCTCCCTTCCCCTCTCAACAGGTGTGGTACGACAACGTGCCGCACCCGGGCCTGGCGAGCTACAAGCTGGGTTCTAAAGCGCGCCATAGTTTGTCTCAAATGCCTCCTCTCCCCTCTCGTAACTGCCTCCTCCTCCCCCCTCCCTTCCCCTCTCAACAGGTGTGGTACGACAACGTGCCGCACCCGGGCCTGGCGAGCTACAAGCTGGGTTCTAAAGCGCGCCATAGTTTGTCTCAAATGCCTCCTCTCCCCTCTCGTAACTGCCTCCTCCTCCCCCCTCCCTTCCCCTCTCAACAGGTGTGGTACGACAACGTGCCGCACCCGGGCCTGGCGAGCTACAAGCTGGGTTCTAAAGCGCGCTGTAGTTTGTCTCAAATGCCTCTTCTCCTCTCTCGTAACTGCCCCCTTCCCTTCTCCCTTCCCCGCTCAACAGGTGTGGTATGACAACGTGCCGCACCCGGGCCTGGCGAGCTACAAGAAGGATCAGAACTGGGTGGCGATGGAGGGAGACAAGCTTGTGTTCCCGGGGGGTGGCACGCAGTTCACCCATGGCGCCACGGGGTACATCAACTTCGTCCAGAAGGTACGGTGCGATTCGGTGCAGTGCGGTATGGTGTGATGCGGTGCAGTGTGGTATGGGGCCTGGCGAGCTACAAGAAGGATCAGAACTGGGTGGCAATGGAGGGAGACAAGCTTGTGTTCCCAGGCAGGGGCACGCAATTCACCCATGGCGCTACGGGGTACATCAACTTCGTCCAGAAGGTATGGTGGTGCAGTGCGGTGTGGTGTGGTGTGGTGTGGTATGGTGTGATCAGAGTAATATTGATGCAGTATGTTACGGTGTGGTGTGGTGCAGCAATTTGCGGCACCCAGGCCTTGCGAGCTACATCAAGGATCACAACTGCTTCCTGCATGGGGTAATAGAATTCACCAACTTCATCCAGAAAGTGCATTGCCGTGCGACGCAGTGTGGTGTGGTGCGTTAGGATATGGTGGCCCTGAGAGGTGACATGGGTAGTGCGTGCCGTTTTCGACATAAGCTGTGGGCTGGGGTGGTATGGTGCATCATTATCAGACCCTCGTTCCCTTCCTGTGGTATGTGGCATGGGCCATAGAAGACCATGCTAATCCCGTGCTAGTCTTCTGGGCACATGCATGTCGTGGTATGGAGTAACGAGTAACTTTTCGCCACCACAAGTTGTTTTATGTCGAACAGACCATTTGATGTCATACTTACCTGCCAGACTACCCACCTCTCTTCTCCACTCCATCCCCCTTTCCCCGCGACACTCCTCTAACCAACCACCACAGGGCTTCCCCAACGTGGGGCAAGTGCATGCGAAACATGGGCTGTGGGTGGCCTGGGTGAACAACTTTTTGATTGGGGCTTGTACCTGATTTCTCAAACACTCCCTCCCACCAATTCAGGCCTTCTCCGATGTGGCGTGGGTGGGGCAGGCGAGTGCGCGTGATGCTGGACATGGGTTGTGGCGTGGCGTGGGCTGAGGTAACCAACTCCTTACACCCCCCCACACCCCCCCACATCCCTCCAACCAATTCAGGCCTTCTCCGACGTGGCGTGGGGTAGGCGAGTGCGCGTGGTGCTGGGCATGGGCTGTGGCGTGCATTGCGAATACCAGTCTGTGCTGGCATGTGTAATCCTTACCCGTTCTCCCCTGCCCGTATCTGCACACCCCACCAGGCCTTCGCCGATGTGGCGTGGGGCAGGCGAGTGCGCGTGATGCTGGACATGGGCTGTGGCATGGGCTGAGGTAACCAACGCCTTACACCCCCCCCACACCCCTTCCAACTACTTCAGGCCTTCGCCGACGTGGCGTGGGGCAGGCGAGTGCGGGTGATGCTGGACATGGGCTGTGGTGTGGCGAGCCTGTCAGCATATCTGGACGCGTTTGACGTGCGAGTCATGTCCATGGCACCCAAGGACGAGCACGAGGCACAGGTGAGGGCAGCACATGTGCGGGACGAGCTGTGTTCACAGGGTATGAAGCTGGGGTGAGGCAAGAGTTGATGTCTCAAGCATGGCGAGCCTGTCAGCATACCTGGAGGCGTTTGACGTGCGGGTCATGTCCATGGCGCCCAAGGACGAGCACGAGGCACAGGTGAGGAGAGAGGTCACGTTTTATCAGGTGAGGAGAGAGGTCACGTCATCAGGTGACTTGCGGGTCATGTCCATGGCGCCCAAGGACGGGCACGAGGCACAGGTGAGGGCGAGGGGGTGGATGGCACAGGCACAGGGAGCAAGTTCCTTTTGGGCTATCGGGCGAATGGTTGAGAGTTGTGGTGAAGGTTTGAAGCCTGTCAGCATACCTGGACTGGAGGCGTTTGACGTGCGGGTCATGTCCATGGCTCCCAAGGACGGCACAGGTAAGGAGAGAGGGCATGCTGTAGGGCTGTGATGGGTTGTGATGGGTTGTGATGGGTTATGATTGGTCCGATGGTTGCCAGTGGTGGTTCTGTGTGAGGTTGGTGCCTCAGATGTCCCTGGTTTCATCAGCGGTTTCTTCACTCCCTGCTAGTTTTAGATTCAGTTGGCTTTGGGAGGGAGAGCGCAGGCAGTGACAGTGATAACGGGCACGCAACCGACTGCCTTCATGCTTCATTGCAAGTTCCCTGTTTCAACCGCCGCCACTCCAACCGTTACCACCCCTAACTCCCCCCTCACCCCCTCCTCCACGTTCCTTCACCATTCAGATCCAGTTAGCTCTGGGGCAGGGAGTGCTGGCGGTGGTGGGCGTGATGGGCACACAGCGCATGCCCCTTACCCTTCAAGTCCCCTGTTTCAACCGCCGCCACCCTGATGTTACCAACCCCCCAACTCCACCCCTGCTCCTTTTTTCGTCCACTTCAGATTCAACTGGCTCTAGAGCGAGGGGTGCTAGCGGTGGTGGGGGTGATGGGCACACAGCGCCTGCCCTTCTCCTCCAACTCCTTTGATGCCGTGCACTGCGCTAGATGCCGTGTGCCATGGCACATTGATGGTGGGTGGGGGATCATTCCCAATCAAGCATGTGTGCATGCACTCCCTCTCTCACTGTGCCTTCCCTTCTCCTCCAACTCCTTGATGCTGTTCACTGCGCTCGATGCTGTGTGCCATGGCACATTGATGGTGGGTGGGGGATCATTCCCAATCAAGCATGTGTGCATGCGCTCCCTCTCTCACTGTGCCTTCCCTTCTCCTCCAACTCCTTGATGCTGTTCACTGCGCTCGCTGCCGTGTGCCATGGCACATTGATGGTGGGTGGGGGAGCATTCCCAATCAAGCATGTGTGCACGCGCTCCCTCTCTCACTGTGCCTTCCCCTCTCCTCCAACTCCTTGATGCTGTTCACTGCGCTCGCTGCCGTGTGCCATGGCACATTGATGGTGGGTGGGGGAGCATTCTCATGCCCGCATGTGATCTGTGCACACACATAAGCATTGTCTCTCTTGCAGCGCCTGCCTTTCTCTTCCAACTCCTTTGACACCGTGTACTGCACTCGAGCCTCGTTGCCGCGTGCCATGGTGCATCGATGGGGGGTAGTGTCATGCAGTGCATGCTTGTGTGCACACACTCTACTCTACACATGCTCCCTCCATACAAACGCACACATCCCCACATGCACATGCACTGCACATGCACATCCAAACCCGTCTCGCTCTTGAGCTCCCTGCTATTCTCCTCCAGCTCCTTTGATACCATGCACGCACTTTTGAGGCGCCTAAAAAAAAGGTCATATCATGGCGCCTCAAAAGTCGTCCCTGCCATTCTCCTCCAGCTTCTTAAATGCCATGCACGCACTCGCTGCAGCGTGCGATGGCAAATTGATGGTGGTTGGAAAAGCACTCTTATAGACATGAGTGCACACATGTATGCACGCACACACACCAGAGTTCTCTCACTTGGTGAATCTCCTTTCCAAGCCACATGAATTCGCTCCCATTTTTCGATCTTCCCAAATGCCGCGTGTATGTTTCCAGGTGGCATGCTGCTATTGGAGCTGAACCGAGTGCTGAGGCCAGGAGGCTTCTTCATCTGGTCGGCCACGCCTGTGTACCGCCACAAGGGGGATGACGAGGAGATCTGGAGCGGTGAGTGCATGGCATCATGAGTGCATGGCATGGTGGATGGGTGGAGGTAGGATTGCACACAGGCCTCATTAACATATGGCATAGGCCCATGCTTCATCTGGTCGGCCACGCCTGTGTACCGCCACAAGGGGAATGACGAGGAGATCTGGAGCGGTGAGTGTTCGGCATGGCGGGGTGAATGCACGGAGGGGTGAGTGGGTGGAAGGAGTAGCCTGCCTTTCAGTGCATGGAAAAGGCTCGTGCTTCATCTGGTCGGCCACGTCTGTGTACCGCCACAAGGGGGATGACGAGGAGATCTGGAGCGGTGAGAATGGGTGCCTGGTGAATAGAGTGAACTAGACTCGTGTGAATGTATGGATTAAGCTCGTGCTTCATCTGGTCGGCCAGACGGGGAATGGGAGATGGAGAATGGGAGATTGGGAATGGGAGATTGGGGAATGGGAGATGGGGAATGGGAGATGGGGAATGGGAGATGGGGAATGGGAGATGGGGAATGGGAGATGGGGAATGGGAGATGGGGAATGGGAGATGGGGAATGGGAGATGGGGAATGGGAGATGGGGAATGGGAGATGGGGAATGCATGTGTACCACCACAAGGGGGATGACGAGGAGATCTGGAGCGGTAAGTGTGGGCAGTGGTGAGTGTGGGTGCAGGGCGGGATGAGTGGGTGGAAGGAGTAGCCTGTCAGTGCATGGAAAAGGCCCATGCTGCATCTGGTCGGCCACGCCTGTATATCTCCACAAGGGGGATGACGAGGGGATCTCGAGCGGTGAGTGTGGCAGAAGCTCTGTCATCCCCTTCCACACCCCCCCTCACTCACTAGCACCACCACCACCCCATTTCCGCGTGCATTGAGGTGTGTTTTGAGGCGCCTCAAAACAATCCTCTGTCATCCCCTTCCACCCCCCCCCCCTCCCCCCCCACTAGCACCACCACCACCCCATTTCCACCGCAGCAATGGCTGACCTGGCGCAGCGCATGTGCTGGACACTCAAGGTGAGGGAGAAGGAGGACGAGCTGGACAACGTGGGCGTGGCCGTGTGGCAGAAGCCCGCCGATTCACACATGAGAACGAACCCTCTCTCTTGCACGCCCATTATTCATTCCGTTTTACCTCACTTTACCCCCTCTCTGCACAAGTGATGCGACTTGTGAGAATTCTCAAAAGTCGCACCAATTTGGCAAAAGCCCTCTGAACGAACCCTCTCGTGCTCTTGTCTGTGGCACGCCCAGTATTCATTCCGTTTTTCCTCACCTTACCCCCTCTCTCTCTGCACACCTTTCTCCCATCCCTGCCCATCCCCTTCCAACCCCCACACCCACGCTTTGTTTTTTGTTTTTGCAGCAATGAGTGATCTGGCGCAGCGCATGTGCTGGACGCTGAAAGTGAGGGAGAGGGAGGATGGGCTGGATAATGTGGGCTAGGCCGCATGAGGTTTGGCAGAAGCCTGCTTTATCCCTCCCACCACCACCACCACCACCCCCTTACACCACCACCACTCCGAACCGCAGCAATGACTGACCTGGCAGAGCGCATGTGCTGGACGTTGAAGGTGCGGGAGAAAGAGGACGGGCTGGACAACGTGGGCGTGGCCGTGTGGCAGAAGCCCTCTGATAACCGCTGCTACAGCGAGCGCAGTGCAGGGACCCCGCCTCCCATGTGTGAATCGGACGACAACCCCGATGCTGCCTGGTGAGTCGTGAGAGGGGGGAAGGGGATGGGGAAGGGGACAGGGAAGGGGACAGGGAAGGGGACAGGGAAGGGGACAGGGAAGGGGACAGGGAAGGGGACAGGGAAAGGGGACGGGAAGGGGGTTAGGAGGAGGGCAAGGAGGAAGGCAGGGAAGAGTGAGTCAGTAGAGGGGTAATAGACGAGGGGGTCTGACCACCTCTTGTTCCACACGCCAGCTTCCCCCCTTCTCCCCTTTCTCCCACTTCTCCCCCTTAAGCATGCCTAAACCCCATGCCGGTGTTCAAGGGAGTGAGGGCGGCACAGTGGCCAGCCATGAGCAGGGCGAGTCTGAGGGCCTTCCCTTACGTGTCTGACCGCCTCGCTCTTTCTATTTCCCCACCACCCCGATTCCTCCCTGCCCCCAGGTACGTGCCCATGAAGGCATGCCTCAATCCTGTCCCAGCCTTTAAGGTATGCGGGCGGCGCAGTGGCCAGCCATGGGCAGGGCGAGGCTGAGGGCCGTGCCTGCTGTTTGACTGCCTCTGTTTGGCTGCCTCTGTTTGGCTGCCTCTCTTTTGTCTCCCCCATACCATCCCCAACCCCATTCCTCCCTGCCCCAGGTACGTTCCCATGAAGGCGTGTCTGAACCCTGTCCCGGCCTTTAAAGGTATGCGGGCGGCGCAGTGGCCAGCCATGGGCAGGGCGAGGCTGAGGGCCGTGCCTGCTGTTTGACTACCTCTGTTTGGCTGCCTCTGTTTGGCTGACCAACTCTCTTTTGAGGCGCCTCAAGGGCCGTGCCTGCGTGGCTGACCAACTCTCTTTTGAGGCGCCTCAAGGGCCGTGCCTGCGTGGCTGACCAACTCTCTTTTGAGGCGCCTCAAGGGCCGTGCCTGCGTGGCTGACCAACTCTCTTTCTACCCCCCACCCCCACTCCCCCTTCTCTCCAGGTATGTGCCAATGAAAGCATGCCTGAATCCCGTGCCGGCGTTCAAGGGTATGCGGGCGGCGCAGTGGCCAGCCATGGGCAGGGCGAGGCTGAGGGCCGTGCCTGCGTGGCTGCAGATGCTCAAACGAGGGGTGTTCGGTGGGCCCGCTGTTGCTGAGATGAAACGCGACCAGGTAAGATGAGATGAAACGCGACCAGGTCCGATGAGATGAAACGCGACCAGGTGAGATGAGATGAAACGCGACCAGGTCAGATGAGATGAAACGCGACCGGGTGAGATGAGATGAAACGCAACCAGGTGAGATGAGATGAAGCGAGTGCAGGTGTGAGATGAGATGAAACGATCCAGAATAAAATGGGTTAAGATGCAATGTTGGAGTCATATGAGATGAAGTGGGACTGAAATGGGACGTGGGACTGAAATGGGACTGGTGAAATAAACTGGGATCAGGTGGGTCGAAGGAGATATTCTCATGGATCATGTTTATTTGAAATTATACATGATTACACGTTGCTTCTTACCTCTGTGCTTACACGTAATGTCCTCGCCGTCCCTGTCCCCCTCCGCCTTTCCCCATCTCTCCCAGATCCACTGGACGAAGGTCGTTGCGTTCTACGATGCATCCTATGGCAGTTTTGGGACGTCTCAAAACTACACTTTTTATCACATGGCCACCCACGCACCGCACCCTTCCCCCTCTCCAGATCCACTGGAAGAAGGTTTTTGCGTTCTACGATGCTTCCTTTGGCATCGACGAGCCAAATATTGAGTCGACTCTAAAATAAGCTCACCCTCCCCCCTGTCCCCTCACCCTCCCCGCCCCCCATCCCTCGCAGATCCACTGGAAGAAGGTGGTTGCGTTCTACGATGCTTCTTTTGGCATCGACTGGGGCACAGTGCGGAACGTGATGGACATGAACGCTCACTATGGCGGGTGAGTGTGATTGTATGGCGGGTGAGTGTGATCGTACGGCGGGTGAGTGTGATCGTATGGCGGGTGAGTGTGACTCTATGGAGTGGGAGGTTTATAAGGAGCATGTGGGGAATCATCAAACATCGACTGGAGCACAGTGCGGAATGTGATGGACGTGAACTCGCACTATGGCGGGTGAGTGTGACTGTGTGGAGGGTGAGTGTGACTGTGTGGAGGGTGAGTGTGACTGTGTGGAGGGTGAGATATGGTTGCAGAGCATGTCTTATGCACACGCTAAGGTTGAAGCAGTGAATATGGATTGGAGCACAATGCGAACGTGATGCCCACGAGTGGCCCCGACTACCACCAACCCTCCATCCCTCCCCACCTGTCCCCATCCCTCTACGCCGCTCTCCAGCTTCGCAGCAGAGCTGGCAGTGTCAAAGAAGCCCCTGTGGGTGCTGAACGTGGTGCCGACAAGTGGCCCCGACTCGCTTCCGATAGTGTTTGAGCGTGGGCTGGTGGGCATCTACCACGACTGGTGCGAGTCATTCAACTCGTACCCGCGCTCCTATGACTTTCTGCACGCTGACCATACCGTCTCACAGGAGGTTGGCAGGTGAGAATAGCGCATGCTCATTCATGCTTGTGCGTGCAACCTGCTCATTGCGTTTGTAAGAACGGGCTGGTGGGCATCTACCACGACTGGTGCGAGCCGTTCAACTCGTACCCTCGCTCCCACGACATGCTTCACGCCGATCATACTGTCTCACAGGAGGTTGGCAGGTGAGAAACGCCTGCCCACGCTCATTCTTGCTTCTGTGACTTGCCCATGTTGATGATAGCGGACTGATGGGCATCGATCACGATTTATGGAATGGCAGGCTCCCCAGTCCTCTACTCCGAGTTGACTTTTGAGTCGACTCAAAAGTCAACACGATTTATGGAATGGCATGGTCCCCAGTCCTCTACTCCGCCCTCCCCACTCCCCACCTCCCTTACCATTATCACCACCAGGTGTGACATCACCGCTGTGCTGCCCGAGATGGATCGTCTGCTCCGCCCGGAGGGGAGGCCGTGTTCCGCGACCATACCCGCATGGGGGGGTCGTTTCATGCCTTGTCCCTCCGTTTTTTTACAACTGTGCTCCTCCCAGGTGTGACATCACATCTGTGCTGCTCGAGATGGATCGCTTGCTCCGCCCGGAGGGCTGGGCAGTGTTCCGCGACCATACCCGCATGGGGGGGACCACCTGTACCTTGTCCCTCCACCCCAAACTCACCACCCTACCCCCATCCCCACCCCCACCGCTCCCACTGCCACCACAACCCTGTCCCGGGTACTTCCTCACCAGGTGTGACATCACGTCTGTGCTGCTCGAGATGGATCGTCTGCTTCGCCCAGAGGGCTGGGCAGTGTTCCGTGACCATACCCGCATGGGGGGGTCTATCCTCAACATCGCAACATCCTTCCGCTGGCGCCTCAAGTTCAACAAGACCGAGGGCGGAGAGGTGCTGCTGGCGTTCCAAAAGGGCTTCTGGCGACCCAAGGAAGCAGAGGAGGAGGCAGCTTGATGCTTGCCCTAGATACTTGAAATGTGGAGTCACGTGTTCAACCAGAGTGAAAGCATTGAGGTGTTGCTCCTCTGGTTTCAAGCGGGCTTCTTCTGGCGACCCAAGGACACAGAGGAGGATTGGCGATCATGCTTAAGAGGATAGGGAGAATTCAGAACCCAGTAAAATTACTAGGTTTAGCCTCAAAGGAGCGGGGGGGGGGGGGGGGGGGGGGGGGGGGGGGGGGGGGGGGGGTGGAGATTGGGGGGGTGGGGGTAAGGACATGAAGTTGAGGAACATGCATTGTTGTTTCCATGCATGCTTGGATGGAGCAACCAATCCAGTAGTCCAACCTGTGCAATTTCCTTCAAGATTCATGCATCATTTATGTGCACAATTCGTGTGTCGTCTGATCGTTAGACCTGTTCAGCAGCAGGCAACACGTAAAACATATACAGTACTGTGCCGTAACGTGGATTCGAGTTGGTTGAGTGCTTGCGACATCACTACATTGAACTTGCGGTATTACAGAAACATGCCTTAACGCTTTACCCGCTGCACACCCTTCCCTCCTCTCTTGGCTACTTGTTGCAGCCGCTGCCTGCCCTTCTGAATTACCTTACTCTCAATCCCCTTCACCTGGCCAGGCCTCACAACACCGCTCTTCCCCCTCGCACCCTTAGCTGCTCCCCTCCCACCAACCGCTGCAGTTTCTCTCCCTCCTTTCCCTGATTCTCCTGCATCCGCTGCTGCTGCCCTCATCCCTTTACCCCTGTTCGGCCCTGACTCTAAACCTTTTCCAATTGTAGCCTTTGCCTTTGACTCCTTTCCCTGCGCGGTCTTGAGCGGCTCCCTTCCCTGTGCCTCATTGCCAGCAGCAGAAAGAGCAGCAGCTGCTGCGGCATCCGCAGCAGCATCAGCAGCAGCGGCTGCAACAGCATCACTGCCCTTAGAACCTCTAGCAGTAGTACCTACTCTCACTGCCCCTGTCCCTGTCCCTGTCCCTCTCCCTGTCAATTTCTGCTGCTGCTGGAGCTCCATCTTCTTCCCCGTTTGCACTTCTTTTCCCAGTGGTTTTGCTGCTCCTTGGGCTGCTTTACCCTCCTTCAACCCTCCTCCCTTCTCTGCCCCTCCCGTCTCAGCATCCTTCCTCCCGCTCCCAACCACACTTCTCAACAGGCTTCCGACTAGCTTTGCTGCCCTCCCAGCAGCACCACCAGCCTTACCACCAGCACCAGCACCACCAGCAGCACCAGCACCACCAGCCGTGGCGAAAGTAGAGTTTGTGGCAGGAACAGGCCCTACTTGGCTCTTCTGCTTGCTGCCTCCTCCTCGCCTTCGCTTGGGCAGAGATTGCGGCTTGATCCCAGCCGTGGCCCTCAGCGCAGCAGGGAGGGTGGGGTTGCTGGTGAGTGACCAAGGGTCCTTGGGACGCGTGCAGGAGAGAGCCAGGCACTTGCACGCTTGGCCTGGGAGGAAAATGGAGGTTGGGGATTGGGCAGTCACCAGTGGATGGAGGGAAAATGGGAGGAGAAAGACTGGTTTCATTAGCAAGGGATGCAGGGAGTGTGGGGTTGCTGGTGCGGTACCAAAACCTCTGGGTCGCATGCGAAAGAGAGCCGGGCAGGCAGGCACTTGGCACACTCCTCTCACCTCCATGGTCCGATTTCTGAGTCGACTCAAAAATCGCCTCATCACAGGAGGATAGGAGCGTGAGTGCGTGAATAGGGGATTTTTGTAGGTGGCTCGCCCGTGGATTTTCGTACAAGGCTCGCTCTACTTCTCCTAAGACGATTTTTGAGTCGACTCAAAAATCGCCTCATCACACTTGGCACACTCCTCTCACCTCCGTGGTCCACCCGCCACATGCCCTTGATATGAGGAACCGTCTCGTCTTGTTCCATTTGGAGATGTAGTTGTTGTGAATCATCACCAGCGTCAACCCCTCCTTCAGCGCCTCCCACTGCATTCACTATCAGATTTTCCAGAAATTACCTCCACCAGATGTTTCCGCCCCTAGTTGTTACCTCCCCGACCACTCACCTCTATGGTCGACCCGCCACATGCCCTTAATGAGAAACCTCCTCGTCTTGTTCCATTTGGAGATGATGTAGTTGTTGTGAATCATCACCGGCGTCACCCCTTCCTTCTGTGCCTTCCTCCGGTCCCAGTAGTCCCTCCCATTGATAAACAGCAGCGGATCCAGCCCCTGCAGCTGCACTGCGTATCTCTTCTGCCTAAGTAAATCGTTTAAAAACTTCTGCTCGTGGTTGTGCTGCTGCGAGCGCAGGAACCTCCGGTACTCGTCCGGATCCCTTTTAGAGGGATGCGTTTTAAGCCAGTCGATATGCTGCTCAAACATAGCAGTCAGTAAATCCCAGAGCACGATAAGCTTTCGGGTGTGAACCAGGAGCAAGAACCCTCCGCATGGGTTCCCTTTCTCTTCTAGCTGGGCTAGAACATCAATTCCCTGGGCTTTAAGGGAGGTGAATGGGTCAGATAGCCATATAGCGTCGGCATCAGCTAGAAGGACGTTGTAACCCGCTTTAAGGATCTCCCCTACTGCTTTAGTGCGCGCGAGAATGAACTCTTTATAGGGTACACTGCCGTAGTCTAGAGCTGCCCTTCTAGTGTCTACTGCTGCTGCTGATGATGCTGCCGCTGTTGCCCCACCTCCTCCTGCTGCTGCTGCTGCCAAATCATCCCCAACAGCAGTCTTATTCCCAGGGCCCATTCCATCTGCTCCTCCTGCTGCTGCTGATGTTGCATTGGCACCAGCGCTTGTGCCTGAAGCACCACCCGCACCTACAGTGTCCGAACCAGCAGCAGTAGCACCATCAGTAGCAGCACCAGCACCAGCAGCAGCTCCTGCCCCTTCCTGCCCTGCCCCACCCACACCCTCGCCTGCCCCTGGCTTGCTGCACCCAGCACAGTACACTGCAAAGCCCCTCCGCTTCAAGGAGAACGCGTGTGCCGGGTCCTGCGTGATTATAAAGAAGTTTCGGATTTGAAGCTCCTGTGGGGGGTGGGAGAATCGGGACGAGAGGGGGGAAAGTGCTGATAATGAGAGAGAGTGCGTGTGTTGCTGGGTCCTGCGTGATTATAAAGAAGTTTCGGATTTGAAGCTCCTGTATGGGGGATGGGAGGAGAGAAGGAAGGGAGGGTACGCGAAGATACTGTGAGAGGGAGGAAGGCAGTGTGTGGTAATACGTGAAGACACTGTGACTATAACGGAGTTTTGGATTTGAAGCTCCTGCAGGGGGAGGTGGGACAATTGGGTGAGAGGGAAGCAAGTGCTGATAAGCAGAGAGCAAGAGGGCCAAGTAGGACATTTTCGAGAATTCTCAAAAATACCCTGGACGAAAGACGGACAAAACATGGGGTCCCGATAGGGTTGAGCAAAGGGCGAACGCGAGCGATTATGTTCGCGTTCGCCCTTGCACGAACATGGCCGCTCGGCGAACCGGCCCCAGATGTTACCCTCCCCACTAACCTTGCACGAACCTTGCACGAACATGGCCGCCCTTGCACGAACATGGCCGCTCGGCGAACCGAACTTCCCCAAAAAAGGGTGTTCGCCATCCCTGGTCACCCATCCCTCCCCCACACTCATCCATCCCTCCCCCACACTCATCCATCCCTCCCCCACACTCATCCATCCCTCCCCCACACTCACCCATCCCTCCCCCACACTCATCCATCCCTCCCCCACACTCATCCATCCCTCCCCCACACTCACCCATCCCTCCCCCACACTCATCCATCCCTCCCCCACACTCATCCATCCCTCCCCCACACTCATCCATCCCTCCCCCACACTCATCCATCCCTCCCCCACACTCATCCATCCCTCCCCCACACTCATCCATCCCTCCCCCACACTCACCCATCCCTCCCCCACACTCACCCATCCCTCCCCCACACTCACCCATCCCTCCCCCACACTCATCCATCCCTCCCCCACACTCATCCATCCCTCCCCCACACTCATCCATCCCTCCCCCACACTCATCCATCCCTCCCCCACACTCACCCATCCCTCCCCCACACTCATCCATCCCTCCCCCACACTCATCCATCCCTCCCCCACACTCATCCATCCCTCCCCTACACTCACCCATCCCTCCCCCACACTCATCCATCCCTCCCCCACACTCATCCATCCCTCCCCCACACTCATCCATCCCTCCCCCACACTCATCCATCCCTCCCCCACACTCATCCATCCCTCCCCCACACTCATCCATCCCTCCCCCACACTCACCCATCCCTCCCCCACACTCACCCATCCCTCCCCCACACTCACCCATCCCTCCCCCACACTCACCCATCCCTCCCCCACACTCACCCATCCCTCCCCCACACTCACCCATCCCTCCCCCACACTCACCCATCCCTCCCCCACACTCACCCATCCCTCCCCCACACTCACCCATCCCTCCCCCACACTCACCCATCCCTCCCCCACACTCACCCATCCCTCCCCCACACTCACCCATCCCTCCCCCACACTCACCCATCCCTCCCCCACACTCACCCATCCCTCCCCCACACTCACCCATCCCTCCCCCACACTCACCCATCCCTCCCCCACACTCACCCATCCCTCCCCCACACTCACCCATCCCTCCCCCACACTCATCCATCCCTCCCCCACACTCATCCATCCCTCCCCCACACTCATCCATCCCTCCCCCACACTCATCCATCCCTCCCCCACACTCACCCATCCCTCCCCCACACTCATCCATCCCTCCCCCACACTCATCCATCCCTCCCCCACACTCATCCATCCCTCCCCCACACTCATCCATCCCTCCCCCACACTCACCCAACCCTCCCCCACACTCATCCATCCCTCCCCCACACTCATCCATCCCTCCCCACACTCATCCATCCCTCCCCCACACTCATCCATCCCTCCCCCACACTCATCCATCCCTCCCCCACACTCATCCATCCCTCCCCCACACTCATCCATCCCTCCCCCACACTCATCCATCCCTCCCCCACACTCATCCATCCCTCCCCCACACTCATCCATCCCTCCCCCACACTCACCCATCCCTCCCCCACACTCACCCATCCCTCCCCCACACTCACCCATCCCTCCCCCACACTCATCCATCCCTCCCCCACACTCATCCATCCCTCCCCCACACTCATCCATCCCTCCCCCACACTCATCCATCCCTCCCCCACACCCACCCATCCCTCCCCCACACTCACCCATCCCTCCCCCACACTCACCCATCCCTCCCCCCACTCACCCATCCCTCCCCCACACTCACCCATCCCTCCCCCACACTCACCCATCCCTCCCCCACACTCACCCATCCCTCCCCCACACTCACCCATCCCTCCCCCACACTCACCCATCCCTCCCCCACACTCACCCATCCCTCCCCCACACTCATCCATCCCTCCCCCACACTCATCCATCCCTCCCCCACACTCATCCATCCCTCCCCCACACTCATCCATCCCTCCCCCACACTCATCCATCCCTCCCCCACACTCACCCATCCCTCCCCCACACTCACCCATCCCTCCCCCACACTCACCCATCCCTCCCCCACACTCACCCATCCCTCCCCCACACTCACCCATCCCTCCCCCACACTCACCCCTCCCTCCCCCACACTCATCCATCCCTCCCCCACACTCACCCATCCCTCCCCCACACTCACCCATCCCTCCCCCACACTCACCCATCCCTCCCCCATACTCACCCATCCCTCCCCCACACTCACCCATCCCTCCCCCACACTCACCCATCCCTCCCCCACACCCACCCATCCCTCCCACACACTCACCCATCCCTCCCCCACACTCACCCATCCCTCCCCCACACTCACCCATCCCTCCCCCACACTCACCCATCCCTCCCCCACACTCACCCATCCCTCCCCCACACTCACCCATCCCTCCCCCACACTCACCCATCCGCATTCGCCTGTGAAGGCGTGTTCGGGCGAACCTCGAACACGTTCGGGCGAACAATTAAAGCTAAAAATAAGAAACCTGTTCGGTTCGCCTCGAACACGTTCGAGTGCCGCGCACCATGACCACGTTCGAGGTAGCCTCAAAAGTCACTCGAGTTGTTGAGCATGTCATCATAGCCCGGAGACACCATGACTCCCGCCACAGCGAAGTGCCTGGCTACAGCAACCCTCTCACCTCGCCCGCACTCCATGCCACCACAGGGTGGCACGCAATGCACTGTATCCTGGCGTAACACGGGACTACTCTTGCACACCCACTGCACCCACCTTGACGTAGCAGACCCAGTTGTTGAGCATATCATCGTATCCAGGTGACACCATGACGCCAGCCACAGCAGAGTGCCGGGCAATGCGCTGCAGCAGCCCTCTCAGCTCGCCCACACTCCACGCCACCTCCCCCCGCGGCACCTCCCTCCCACAATGGTCCACCCGGGGCAGAGGCGCGAGGGAGCGCGGGGACGTGGTGAGGTGGAGGGAGAGGGAGGAGGAGAGGCGGAGCGCGGAGGGGAGCGGGAGGAGGGTGGGGGTGGCGGTTGGGTAGGCGAGAGGGGGTTGGGAGTCGATTGAATAGCAGAGACGTGTGTTGCTGCTCAGGTCCTGTAAGGGTGGAAACGTGGGACGCATATAAGGCGACTTTAGAGGCGCCTCAAAAGACGGTTGGGAGTCGATGGAGTAGCAGAGACGAGTGGGGCTGTTCAGGTCCTGTAGGGGGGAAAGATGCAAAGGGTTCAAATAGGGGTGGGATGGGTGACGAGGAATGGGTGGAGGGACGGGGAGGGGTTGGGTAGGCGAGAGGGGGTTGGGAGTTGATGGAGTAGCAGAGACGTGTGGGGCTGTTCAGGTCCTGTAGGGGTTGAAACATGGGAAGCATGGGAGGATAGACTATGGGTGGAGACGAGAGGGGAAGAGGATGGGATGAAGAGCAGGTGGGGGATCAGGAAGTGGGTGGGTAGGCGAGAGGGGGTTTGGAATCGGTCGAGAAGAAGAGACGCATGGAAAGGCTTGTAGGGGAGTAGGGTGGGAGGAAGGGGAGGATGGAAACAAGGGTGGGATGATGGGAAGATGGGTGGGATTATTGAGGGGAAGGTGGGATGATGATGGGAGAAGGAAAATATGTGGGGGAGAGGTGGGTGGAAAGGATGCGTTGCTTGGGTTTTTGAGGGGGAGAGGTGAGAATTCTCGAAACTGACCTAAAAAAAAAATGGGCGCGCGTTGAGGAGGGAGGATTCTCACCTCTCCCCCCCCCCGTGCGCACGCACACACACACACACACACACACACACACACACACACACACACACACACACACACACACACTTATACACACACCTCTTGAGGATCGAGTGTGCGTAGCATAAGGTTGTAAAGGTCGTTTTCCTCCACGTATGTTAGGAAGCTCACTCGCCAGTCTGAAGGGGGGAGTGGCAGGGGAAGGGGAAGGCAGATGGGAAAGAGAGTCACATGAGATTGTAAAGGTCGTTCTCAGATGAGATTGTAAAGGTCGTTCTCTTCCACGTATGTCAGGAAGCAGACTTGCCAGTCTGATAGGTGGAGTGGTAGTGGGGAAAGGTAGGGGTGCAGCAAGGGAGTGTGCGCAGCATAAGGTTACAAAGGTCGTTCTCTTCCACGTATGTCAGGAAGCAGACTTGCCAATCTGCCGGTTGACACAGGGAGAGGGAGAAAGTGTGTGCGTGTGGTTGGTACGCGAGAAACAAAGTGGGAGTGTGCACGGCAGGAGTAGCAGAAGGTTACAAACAAAGGTCGTTCTCATCCACATACGTATGTCAGGAAGCTTGCTCGCCGATTTGGACCCCTCCCACCGTCTCACCTTCCCTGCCTTGCCTCCCAGTCGAACTTGAGGTGAGCGCTGTTGACCTGCTGGGCCTGCGACAGCGCGTGCCACGCCCAGAACTGCCCAACCAGACACCTCCCTCCCTCTCTCCATCTCACCTTCCCTGCAGGGCGCGCTGAAGTCATAGGCATCCCAGTCGAACTTGAGATGGGCGGAGTTGACCTGCTGGGCCTGCGACAGCACATGCCACGCCCAGAACTGCCGCCACGGCTGAGGAAACACCACCTGGCATGAGTGAGCCATTGCTAATGACAGCACCCCCATTCCCGCTTCTCCCCGTGCTCCCCCCGCGTGCCCCCGCTCCCCCCGCCCTTCCCCCGCCCCTCCCACCCCTCCCGCTCCTCCTACCCCTCCTACTGCTCCTAACCGTCTCACCTTCCCGGCAGGGGGCGCTGAAGTCATAGGCATCCCAGTCGAACTTGAGATGGGCGGAGTTGACCTGCTGGGCCTGCGACAGCGCATGCCACGCCCAGAACTGCCGCCACGGCTGAGGAAACACCACCTGGCATGAGCGAGCCATGGCCAGCGACAGCACCCCCACCCCCACTTCTCCCCCTGCCCCTCCTCCTGCTGCTGCCCTTCCTGCTGCCCGTCCTGCTCCTTCGGCTGCTGCGCCTGCTGCTGATGTTGCTCCCCCTATTAGGGTTTCTTCTGGGCGCTTAAAGCCCGTCATGATGGGCGAGTCTTCGGCGAGGAAGGGTGAGTCTGGGTCTAGAGCGATCCCAAACAGCCCTGACACATGCGCACCCGTGCTCTCCTCCTCGCTACTGTCACTTCCGATACTATCCCCTCCGCTACTGTCCCCACCACCACCGCTGCTGCTGCTGCTGCTGCTGCTGCTGCTGCTGCTGCTGCTGCTGCTTCGCTCCCGTCCTCCCTTCTCCCCTGCCCCTTCCCCACCACCCTCTCCCCCATAGCCCCCATAAAACCCCGATACGCTTGCCTCCACTGTGAAAGCGGCAGGGTTGCCAGCAGCAGCGGGTGCGAGGGCGAGGGCTTTAAGCACGAGGTAGAGGCCGGGGGAGAGGCGGGAGGAGGGGTCGAGGAGGAGGAGGAACTCGCGGGGGGAGGCGGGGAACCAGAGGGGCAGCGGGTCGGTGGGCTTGGCGCTGTTGCCTGATAGCTCGATTACGCGCCTTGGCCCGTGGAACCAGGGGAACTCCTGTGGGGATTGGGAGGCGGATGGGAAGACGGGGACGGGAAGGTTTCAGTGTGTGCGTGAGGGCTACCAGCAACAGCGGGTGCGAGGGCGAGGGCTTTAAGCACGAGGTTGAGGCCGGGGGAGAGGCGGGAGGAGGGGTCCAGGAGGAGGAGGAACTCGCGGGGGGAGGCGGGGAACCAGAGGGGCAGCGGGTCGGTGGGCTTGGCGCTGTTGCCTGATAGCTCGATTACGCGCCTTGGCCCGTGGAACCAGGGGAACTCCTGTGGGTGGGAGGCGGATGGGAAGACGGGGACGGGAAGGTTTCAGTGTGTGCGTGAGGGCTACCAGCAACAGCGGGCGCGAGAGCGAGGGCTTTAAGCTCGGGGTAAAGCCCGGGGGAGAGGTGGGAGGAGGGGTCCAGGAGGAGGAGGAACTCGCGGGGGGAGGCGGGGAACCAGAGGGGCAGCGGGTCGGTGGGCTTGGCACTGTTGCCTGATAGCTCGATTACGCGCCTCGGCCCGTGGAACCAGGGGAACTCCTGGGTGGGGGAGGAATGGGAGGGGGGAAAGTGAGGGAGGAGGGATGGGTGAGAGCATCTTTGAAGCATTGGAGGGAATCTGGCAAAGCCTGAAGGGGACGGAGAGGCTGGGAGGGAGCAGGGGTCAAGAGTCAAGGAGGAGGGAGGGGTCGAGGAGGAGGAGGAACTCGCGGGGGGAGGCGGGGAACCAGAGGGGCAGCGGGTTGGTGGGCTTGGCGCTGTTGCCTGATAGCTCGATTATGCGCCTCGGGCCGTGGAACCAAGGGAACTCCTGTGGGGATTGGGAGAGGAAAGGGTGGATGGAGGGAGGAGGCGGGAAAAGAGGTCCTCACCTCTATCCCTCTTCCACACCTGAGAGCCTCTCTAAGCTCTATCCCTCTATGACTTAGCAGGGAACTGTGGCAGGTAAATGTGGCAGGTGACTGTAGCAGGTGACTGTATCAGGTGACTGTAGCAGGTGACTGTAGCAGGAGCACGTGTTTTCCTCTCACCTGAGCACTCGTGGCAGCAGCACTGCAGGCGGTGGCCACTGTGAGTGAGCTGCACCTCGTCCTCTCCATACTTCACGTCCTGCAGTGACTGTAGCAGCGCCTTCAGCCCCTTGCTGTCGCACTCCGCTCTCACCTGTCAGCACTGTGAGCTGCACTGCACCTCGTCCTCGCCACACTTCACGTCCTGCAGTGCCGTGCCTGCAGCAGGTGACTCTAGCAGGACAGTATCGTATGACTCTATATCGAGGACATCCTCTGACCTGTGCGCTCCTTGCAGCAGCGCTACAGCCTACAGGTGATAGCCACGGTGAGTGAGCTGCACCTCGTCCTCGCCATACTTCACGTCCTGCAGTGCAGTGTCTGCAGCAGGTGAGTGTATCATGTGACATCTGTAACCCTCTCTTCCTCACCTGGGCACTCCGGGCAGCAGCACTGCAGGTTGTCGCCACTGTGAGCTGCGCCTCGTCCTCTCCATACTTCACGTCCTGCAGTGACTGCAGCAGCGCCTTCAGCCCCTTGCTGTCGCACTCCGCTCTCACCTGTGCAGGTAGGGAGAAGGAGGGGACGAGGGCGGGAGGGATGGGAGGGATGGAAGGAAGGGGGAAGGGGGAAGGAGGAAGCGGTGAGTTGCACCTCGTCCTCTCCGTATTTCACGTCCTGCAGTGATGTGACTGCAGCAGCGCCTTCAACCCCTTGCTGTCACACTCCGCTCTCACCTGTCAATGGGGGACGAGGCGAAGGGGGAATGGGAATGAGTAAGGCGAGGGAGAGGGAGGGGGAAGGAGAATAGGATGGGGAAGGGGAAAAGAAAAAGGGAGGGGTTTGGAAAAAATCAACTTGAAACACGAGCACTGGCCAGAATGTGCAGTAAAGCTGCATCGAGCTCAACCACTCATAAGAATGTGCAACTGGAACGGCTGCGCATTGGGCCTCTTGCGCTCATCCTCCTCCACCACAATGTGAGCCTGATTGCACCGGTCTCATCTCATCTCGCCACAACGTGTAGCTGAACCGGCCTCAACCACTCACCACAACGCTACACCGAGCTCCACCACTCACCAGAATGTGCAGCTGGAACGGCTGCGCGTTGAGCCTCTTCCGCTCATCCGCCACCACCGCCGTCGCCGCTGCCACGCGCTGCTGCACCTCCTCCCCCATGGGCGGACCCGACCACTGCACACGCAGCCTCTCCGCGCGCCACCGCACCTCCGCGCGGCCCCCCGCCTCTGCCACTCCCCCCCTTGCGCTCCCCGCTTGCTTCTCCGCGCCTCCCCGCACAGATCCGCCTTCCCCGTTCCCGCCTTTTCCGCCGCCAGAGGCGGGGAGGTTCTGATAGGCCTCTTTTTCGTACTCCGCGGCTCGTCTCCTTGCGCCTGACCCGTCGCCTACTGCCACGTGGACAGAGCCGAAGGGATCGGAGACGACCGATAGGGAGGACGAGCCGGGGGAGGTAGACCTAGGGGAGGATAAAATCGTAGATATGATCGCGTCGGCCGTGAACAGTAACGCGAAGAGGAGAATGGCGGCGGAAGTTGTAAGGCACTGGAGGCCGAATTGCAAGAGCGGATTGCGGCGCGAATCGCGGCGCGGCTGCTGTGACTTAAACGAAGGCCCGCGCGCCGCGTGGCGGAGGACGGGGGAGGAGCTTCCGCTTCCGCCTCCGCCCCTCCGCGGATCGCCGGACGCTGACGTGGATGACGTGACTAAGCTGGCTCCGGGAATTGCGCTGCTGACGCCGCTTCGGGCGGGTGAGGCGGACCTCGCAGGCGACCCGCTGCTGGGTCGCAGAGCCGTCGTCTGCGACGCGTTGGCGGCATGTGGCGACCCACCCACGCCGCGTCGCCCACTGAGTCCTCGAGAATCCATCAGGCCGTTGCGACGGGCATCTGAAATCGCAGGGACTGTCTACAGAGAAAGGCTGACTGCGGGCGGTCAATGCTACGGAAGGGTCAACAACACTAGTGACGGTGAAGACACGTGATAGAAGACGTCTCAAAACGGACGGTGAAGACTACGAGTTGGTGAGGAATGGTGCAGGGTTCGTTTTTAATGCAACAAGGATAAGTGCCTACCGGAGATGGTGGGAAGACTACCTGTAACCGTTGTCAACCACAACTAGTAATGCCCGTTCGGGTATGTTACGCTAGTCACACCGTTGATGGTCGCCTCGCCACAAGTCAGTCACTCAGCAGCGAGAACAGAAAATCCTCCAAATCCAACAACCAAGCAGACCACCTGTATCGGATCAGGGCGACTTGAAATGTGTGATAAGTACGGTTTGCTACTTTACCGGACGGCAGAATACGTTGTTTACCGGTTTTCTCTGGTTCTGAGGGTTTTACGCAAGAGATAAATTGAGAAACAGAAATCTAGGGAATTGAAGGTAAACTCGAGGCTGTTGGGGCCATAAAAGGTTGAGGAGAGCCACGGGTGTACTGGCCAAAATCACACAGATCCACGTTATAAATAACTGACAGGATGTTATGAGAAAACATTGCAAAAACTTCAGCAATCCTCTATTCATCCCTGATAAGGTGCTTAGAAAGCATCTGAACTAAAGCACCATAAGAGGGCCAGCAAGTTGGTATGCCAACCAATACCAGAATCCTAGGTTACTGCCAGCCCTGCCCTCCACTGGCAGGTGGCCTAGGAAGGAGTTGGACAAACGTATATGCCAGCCCCTGGCGCAGCTACATGGCGAATTCCCCATATCACACAGACCCTCTGTGAGAGCACATCACTCTCTTGAGATGGTTGCACAAGGAGCACATACAGAGCAAATCTGTAATATATATATATATATATATATATACCGTATATACATATGTAGCCATAGCAGGCAATCAAAACAAGCATGTTGGAACGAAGTGAAGTGAACACCAAAGAGAGGCCTGATACGTGATCCCAGTGAACAGAACTGTGTGAGAATCAAACTGATCGGCAAACCCTCAAGGTTCCAACGAGCTTGAAGTCCTTGCACCAAAAGCACACATGCAGTCTCATTTGTTCCAAATCAGTGAACAAACTTCACATTGGAATAACAAGAGAACAATCTCAAACAACTCTCGGTTTCACTGGCTCCCTACACATACACCTGCAGCCCACTAGTCCATCCTCTTCCACATTGCTGCAGTATACTTCCATTCCCAAACAGTCCCATCACCTGGAAAAGTTCTGATCTCAACAGTACAACCCTTTTCCTGCACCATTCCACTGGCACGCACTCTAGAAAGGAGTTTCACCAGCGAAGTTGCCCGGGGGCAAGTAGTCGCACACCCAAATGCCCGAGCCATCAGGGCACTGAGCAGAGGAGCAGCCGACACGAGTGGTCTCGCGCCATACCACCTGCGTGTAGTGCCCACACATCTTGCCTTCCGCACACCCATCAGGAACCGGGCTGGGGGTCCAGTCCGCCTTCTCTTCCACCCATGACTGCACCGCCCTACGATCCTCCCTTGGGGTTAGCTCTGCGGACGACAGCCAATAGAGGTTCTTCCCGAACCCCTCTTCTCCATTGTTCTCCAGAGGGCAACCGAGGGATGCCAGGAAGGCTGCCCATGCCTGTGCTGATGCTGCTATTTTCTCATCCCACGCCAGGTCGGGCACACCCACTTCCTTTCGTGCCTTGTTGTGCTCCTCGAGAATCCCGGTGATGTCGATGCTTCCGCCGCTACCGCCGTTTCCACTGTCGCCGTTTCCACCATCACCACCAACACAGCGGCAGCCCTCCCCATTGACAACAACGCTGTCAACAGCGACAAAATCACTAAAGTCACCACCAGGATAGTCACCACCGTTTTCACCAGTCACCGTTACACCACCATTATAGTCATCATCGTTGTTGCCTCCATTATTATCGCCACCATGGCTGCCTCCATTATAGTCACCACCACCATAATCACTACCACTGTACTCACCACCACTGTAATCACCACCACTGTAATCACCACCACCAGCCGAGCTATTCTGTGCAAATGCGGCCATCCCCACAATCTCATGATCATTCACGCCCTGCTCATTTCTATTACTGCCACCATTCCTCCTGTGCAACACCACGTCAGAGGCTCCAGCCTTGCGGAACTCCCCGCGCATGTCCCCGCTCAAGTGTGACAGTGACGCCTGGGAAGTCGCCATCGCACCTGGGCCGTTATTCATTCCAGCGCCACTGCTGCGCTGTGGCGAGTGCGCTGACGTGACAATGGTGCGGCCGCGGCTGCCCCGCCTGCGGCGCTCGTGACTGGAACGATGTCGGATCTCCACGCCGTTGATGCTGGCTGCGCGGAATGCGCTGTTGACAACTGCTCCTCCGCTCCCCTTGTGGCGGGAAACTCCGCCTTGGCGCTGATTTGCTGCTGCATGGAGCGGCTTGGGGTTTCCAGGTCTGCGAGGGCCGTGATTCACGGCGTTACGTGCGGCGTGAGGAGCGCCTGAAGGAATATATTAGAGAGCGTAGCAATAACGAGAGAGTTTCTGCTATGGGAATGATGTTGCGCCAGCAACTTGGTAGAGTTTCGTGTCAGAATGAGGAATGAGTGTTGCATTGATGTTGGTTGGGGTACATATGACAAACCCTAACTTCTGTACCCCCTAAGACAAACCTCACTACAGGCTACAACATTTGACACACCCCCATAGCCTAAGTGAGGGGTGTCTAGCAAAAACAAAAAGAGTACGGTCACAAGACCAGTCCAAAAGAAAACAAAGCTCAGGGTGGATCACAACGTCACCACACACTCTGAGCACAAGCAACAGTGGCCACAAGGCCAGTCCAAGAGATCACAAGTATATATAGTAAATGTACAGACGAAGCAGGCAATAAACTCAAGTCTACGCATGACTAGAACCTGTGTCAACAAGGCCTAACTGCACACAACACCTCTGGTGGTCACAAGGCGGAAGCGCCTTGGTGAAGATGTCTGCAGTGTTGGCCTCGGACTCTACGAACTCGAAGCGAGCCTGTCCACGCCTCTGCAACTCTCGCAGAAGAAAGTACCTGATGTGAATGTGCTTCACTCTGCTCTCCAGTCGCGGCTCACGACAGAGGAGGATCGACGCCTTGTTGTCAGTAAACAAGGTCGGTGCAGAGCTCGGCCGCTCACCAAGGTCAGTGAGCAAGAAGGTCAACCACCGCAACTCCTGTGCCGCCATGGCACCAGCGTAAATCTCAGCCTCAGCTGTAGAGGTCGAGACAGAAGAGGAGCGCGTGGAACGCCAGGAAACAGCTCCAGAACCCAGACTGAAACAGTACCCCTGAGTAGACCTGTGAGTCTCAGCGTCGTCAGCGTAAGAGGAGTCACAGTGACCAGTGAGTACGACAGACTGCTGCCCTCCAAGAACTAGCCCCACGCCTGATGTAGTCGCTAGGTACTTCGCCACCCTCACAGCTGCCGTCCAGTGAACAGGACGGTGTCTCCCTGGCGCAACAAAGCGCGCAAGGATGCTGAGAGGGAAGGCGAGGTCCGGGCGAGTACAAGTCATCAGGTACATGAGGCAACCCACAAGCTCTGCGTAGGGACCACTAGGCTCAAACGGCTCGTCAGGAAAGGGACCAGTGAGTCTGTGGTCAACAGCTAGAGGTGTGCGCTGTACGGTGGAGTGCTGAAGCCCGAACCGCTGAAGGACCTGCTGCACCATGTGTGACTGTGAGAGTGTAATGGTGCGAGCGGCTCTGTCCCTGGTGATCTGCAGGCCAAGGTAGTGGCGCAGTTCACCAAGATCAGTGCACGTGTGTCTCTTCTGCAGTTCGGACTTCACGTCTGCCAAAGCAACCCTGTCCGGAGTGGCGAAAACGAGGTCGTCGACGTAAACCAGAACAAAGAACGGTGTGGAGCCACGACGAACGAACAGCGACGGGTCGGCAGAAGACGGCTGGAACCCAAGGTCAGAGAGGGTAGAACGCAGAGTGTCGTGCCACTCACGAGGGGCCTGGCGAAGACCGTAAACAGGTCGCCTCAGCCTCCACTGGGTCCCAGGAGGGAAGGTGCCAGTGAAGGCCGAGGGACGACGCAACCAGACCTCCTCGTGTAGGCTGCCCTGAAGGAAAGCAGTGGAGAAGTCAAGAGAGTGTAACTCGTAGTCTCTCTGTGCTGCTACGTGTAGTAACACCCGAAGAGTGGTCATCTTCGGGGTAGGTGCGAAGGTCTGAAAGAAGTCAACTCCCTCGCGCTGACTGAAACCTCTAGCCACGTAGCGCGCCTTGAAGACCGGGGGAGATCCCGGTGGCCGCTTCACCCTGTAGATCCACATGCCGTCGACTACGTTCGCCCCCGGGGGGGGAACCTCATCGACGTAGGTGCCTGTGGATCTGTAGGAGGCCATCTCTGCGTCCATGGCAGCTCTCCACTGAGAGGCCCAAGGCCCTGACACTGCCTCAGCGTAAGTGCGAGGAGTCGGAATGTCAAGGGCGTCGGGGTCACCCTCAGGGGCGAGGAGCATGGCACAGAGATGAGGGGAAGCGGCCGCCAGGAACTCTAGCTCAAACTGCCTGTCCTCTAGGGCGTCACGGCCAAGGGCAGACACACCCCCGACGGCCAGAGGACTGGTAGGAGGAGCAGCCACAAGCGTGGTGGCGTAGTCAAGGCGGCGGGTAGAGGCAAAGTCAGTAACTGCGGCAGTAAGAGCGGACACAGAGGACACAGAGGCACGAGGGTGAGTAACAAGAGAGGCGAGAACACGAGAGAGAACAGGACGGTACGTGCGGTAGTAGTCAGTGACAGGAGTAGGGAGCGACACAGTGAGGGCCGACTCAGGAGGAGACGGAAGCACAGACTGAGACGGACGAGGTGGACTAGAAAGAAGGAAGGCAGTACGAAGGTCAGTGAAGGGAACAGGAGACGAGGGACGAGCACGAGGGGAGCGACGAGTAGCCCAAGAACGAGACGGAGGAGAAGAGGACAAGGGCGGAGAACTGGGGAAAACAGCGGGGGAGGAGTCAGGAGGAGGAAACGTGGGACCGTAGACAGGAGGAGAGGCGGAGGAGGGAGGAGAAGGGGAGGGGAGACCAAGGATCCGAAGACCCGAGACAGGAGGAGGAAGTGGCTGCTGCTGCTGCGGCTGCGACTGCTGCTGCTGCGGACGCGGCTGCTGCTGGGACTGCTGCTCCTGCGGGTCCAGCTGCTGCTGCTGCTCCTCCAGCCGCTGTAACTCCCTCTCCTCTCTCTCCAACGCCAGCTGATCGTCACGGGCACGGCGAACACGAGCCTGGTGCCTAGTCGGGTAGGGGTGGGGGGGCGGAGTAGTGTCCGAAGCAGCGGCAGCTCCAGAGTCCACTCCAGAAGAACTAGGCTCACCACCCCCAGAGGCAGCACTAACACCAGCTCCAGACCCAGGCTCACCTGAACCCAAAGGAGGCGCACCCTCACCCCCAGACGCAGCACCCCCAGTGTCCGCGCGGCCAGCACCAGCTCCCGGACGACAAGCGTCCTCTGCACCCACCTGGTCAGCTCCAACTCCAGAACCAGAAACTCCAGCTCCAACCCCAGCTCCAACTCCAGCACCCCCAGAACCAGAAACTCCAGTGCCAACTCCAGCTCCAACTCCAGCTCCAACTCCAGCTCTAACTCCAGCACCCCCAGAACCAGAAACCGGTACAGGAACAGGCGTCGCACCAACCTCTCGAGAGCTAGCACCAGCGGCACGCTGCGAGGAGGACTGTGGGGAGGGAGGCTGTACCGGAGGGGCTACCGAAGGAGGAGGGGTAGCCTGGGACACACCTGACGGGGCTGGACCAGGGGGGGGAGGCTGTACCGGGGGAGCAGGAGGGGGAACGGCAGTCAGGAAGAGGGGGGGAGGAGGAACCGGGAGACCTCGACTGGGGTACCTGACGTAGTACGGAGTGGACTCCTCGAAACGGACGTCACGGGAGTCAAAGAACCGGTGAGAGGGAGGGTGGTAAAAGGTGAAGTCAGAGGAGTCCTCAGGGAAACCAAGGAAGACACAGGGGACGGCACGAGGCGAGAGCTTGTCCGCGGAGGTGTCGCGGACAAGAGCCAAGCACCCCCAGACACGAAACCGCGACGCAACACCAGGGAACCCTGTCCAAAGACTGGTCGGTGAAACCTCTGGTCGAGAGACACGTGGCCAGAGGTTCAGCTGGTGCGCGGCGTACCTGACCGCGTAGGGCCACAGAAAATGGGGGGCACAGGCGTGAGTCAGGGAGGTGCGGGCGATCTCCATGACCAGGCCTATGCGGCGCTCAGCAACCCCATTCTGCTGTGGGGACTCTGGAAGCGTCCAGGACTGACGAATGCCCTGCTCGCGACAGAATCCAGCGAGAATGCCGGAGCGAAACTCACCCCCACGGTCGGAGTGGAGACAGCTGACACGACGACCACGAGTGTCCTCGGTGGTGAGCAACCACCTGATCAGCGTAGAAGTCACCTCAGACTTCTTCGCCAGAGGGAACACTGTGGTGTAGCGGGAGAAGTCGTCAACGACCACCAGAAAGTAACGCTCACGCTCAGGGCCTAGACGAGGGGCTGGGCCCCAGACGTCCAAGTGAAGCGTCTCAAAAGGCTCGGTGGCCGGACGAAGGGAGGAGGAGTGAGGGGTGGCGCGCAGCCTACCCTCGACGCAGGGACGACACGGCGGCGCAGGCGAAGGCGGCAGCGACGGCAAGACACGTGGGAGGCCTAGGACAAGACGCTGACTAGACATAGCGCGCAGACGTGGAAGGGACGGGTGCCCCATCCGGTGGTGCCACAGAACGGTGGGGTGGGCAAGCGACCGGCAGGAGCACGACGCAGCGACTGGAACAGACGGAGGAACCTGACACGACACAGACACCTGGGGGGACGTAGCAACCTGGTGAGACGCGGGGACCCGAACGGGGGGGGGAACCGGGGGCAGTGGCAGTAGGGGGGGCTGCTGGTGCGGCCGCTGGTGCTGCTGCTGCTGCTGCTGCTGCTGCGGCTGCGGCTGCTGCTGCTGCTGCGGCTGCTGCTGCGGCGCACGCGGGCCAGTGTGAAGAGTGTAGAGACCCGAGCCCGGCTCAGCAGTAAAGGTAGCAAGAGGCTGGTAAGAGTCTCCGTCAACACACACCGCAGTCTCTCCAGAAGGCTCAAACCACACACCCACGTGCTGGCTCACGAGGGGTCGCACGCCCACCAAGTTCCGGGAGAACGAGGGGACGTGAAACCCAGTGAGAGACCCGGAGG